ATCAGACAAAACCTAATTTCTGAAAATAGACTACTTTCAATTGATTTTCCTTATCGAAGGCCCGGTCCGATTAGCCATACAACGCATGTGGTTTCACTAGAGTCGCGGTCATCGAGCGATTTTTCTTACTGTACATATGCTTATACTCGATTCCCTATTATTGTATGGTGACTTATTGTATGCCAGGTTGATTTCCGCTTATGTCGTCATAACGTTCCGGTTCGATGAATTTCGAGAAATGGTTTTGGAGAAATGTTTTTGCAAGATTTGTATTTGGTAATTTGTTGTTCGAGATTTGTTTTTCGCTGTATTTCTCTGATGAAATGGAAATGTAGGTTAATTTTTTGATTTTCTAAAAAAAAAATATATATATCTTTATATTAAAATACAATTAAGATAAACAAAACAGATTTTACAAATCTGATATGACAAATGTCTGATTTGTGAAAAAAATATTGATTTGAAGATACAAATGTTAATTTTACTGTACAAATGTTGAAATACGACAACAAATGAAGAAATACGAATTAAGGACTATGAATTAAGAACTAAGAACACCGTGTTGTTTGGTCTTCCATACTGTAGAGCTTACTCTGTAGAGCTAGCTCTTGTATGGTTCACAAGTACAGATCCAGTACTGTTTTTATCACCTTACTCAATCAACTTCAGACACATTTTTATCGCAGTAAAAAAAACAAGAAAACATCCCCCCACCCCAAAAAAAAAAACCCAAAACAAAATAAAACAAAATACACAGCAAAGAAAAATCTGTAGGAGAAAACAAACAAATAAATCTGGCCGAAACGTACTCTTTCTAAAAAAAAATTGGCCGAAAATCCCTAGGCCGAAACGTCCTACATTCGTTTACACGATACAACCAATCCATACAACCGTCGGATGCAACAGTCGTATCCGACCAACTCATCAGACAAATGGTCCGATGGACAGCTATGGATAGGGCCAGTTATAATTCTCACCCGACGGACTGATGCAATAGCCAATCAAATTGCGTTATATTATATCTGACTTGGCAACAAGAATTCGAGCACTTTGACGCCCTCTGCCTTGGACACTGTAACTCATATGTCACTTCTACACCTTTAACTACGGAAATGGAATCAATAAGATCTCTTAATTGCCGACCCATCTCCAACCTATGCGAGACTAATCTCTTGTTTGACCACTCTCGCACTAGGTCAGTGCAGGTTCTCAACCTTTTGTTGCCAATAGGCACACCATGGAACACATGAATTTTGCAAAATAAAAACATGGCAAGTCAGACGGCATACTACCGTAGACATATACAAATCATACACACTAAATAAAGAAAAACACCACAGCTAAGAACTTATGAGTAGACACCAGTGAATACTCAATTGGGGTCACTTGGTATTTCGCATTTTCTTAGTTTGCGGTTCAAAATTCTGCGGCACCCTTAGGAAGATCTCACAGCACACTACCTGAGAATCACTGCCCTGGGTGGAAGTAGAAGTTTAGCTCGACAAACACACACATTTCCACTTACATCTTTGCTCATATAATTTAAATTGTTGACATGTTTAGTTCTGATTATTTACCTACACATTATCAATTTAAAAATTGTTTGCCTTTACAAGAACATATTCATTGTGTCTTTAATAACTGAGTTGGTTTGTTAATACCTTCATTGACCACATAATGATCGATGTACGTATTCAAATATTTGATGTAAATAACGCAAAAGCAACTTCTACTTTCATGTACTTTCTCAAGGCTATGAGATAATAATAGTATGACGTCATAACATATTACCTTGGTGTTCAATTTATCAATGAAACTGTTTTCTTCTACTCGCAATAATAACTCGTTAATCAATGGCATGTTTGTAAAGGGATAAAAAGTTAAAATTGTCCCAATATTGTATTGCAAATAAGGTTCGTCGTAGTATTTTCATATTACAGCTATATAGGAAGGGATAGGAACTGTCAGTGGACATCGTCCGACCAGAGACAGTTCCTAAAGGAAGTACTTAGTTTATCGAAGTGTACTAGCACGAACCTGAGGAACAGACGATAACACCGGGATCCCCCACCCTCCTCACGGTCAGCGAGCCAATACAAAACTTCGTTCATTTTTGCATGAGTGTGTAATTTCAAAAGCACATTTTCTAATTTTCTTCCGTCTTCAGACCATTGATGGTCCGCCAATGAAAAGGTTTTTGTTGCTTGAGAGGTTATCGAGGACACCTTTAATAAACAGGTATGACGATACAGGTGTGGTTTAGTGGTTTATATAACGTTATTATTGTCATACTCAGTCTTCAATGTAGATTCCGAAATGTATTTACGATTAACGGGAGGTAACTATTGATTTTTATAAACCTATAACGGTAAATCCCTTTGATCTTTGGGGTATATTCTATGCCCGTAATAACTTCTTATTCAAGGAATTAACATAGCTGACTCACTTTTGTCCTGCTATTATAATTCTAGATTTTTTAAATATAATACCAAATATAATTCAATTTTGGGCGCAAAATATTTCATTTTTTTTAGAAAACGAATAATTAATTAACGTTTTTCTATTATCTATTTTGACAATCTTATTGTATCTAATCTGATGTAATGAGTACAGCTGTATTTTTGTGACTTGTAGAAAGAGACTATGCCAATAAGTCGACATCTCGACGTTACGATAAAAATAACACGATGATACGACAGAGTTAAGTGCGTCAATACTGTCGTGATGTCGTGTTGTCGCGTTATGAAAAGGGCGAGATTTAACATGGCCACTATCAGCCACCATAGTTAACTCTATCATTCTATTGTTCTTTCAGTGTGCACTGCTCTTACCAATGGTAGTTCCCTATTAATATAAACGACGGTCTCCTTATTTATCGTGATAAGGCGTAATATTGCCTGCACAACATCGTGTGTTTTCTCCGGAACTTCCGGTTTCTTCACACAGATAAAACCCCTAGGTGCAAGCACATGTTAGTCGCGACATGACCTAGTTTGTGTCGAGTGGACGTTAAACCCCATTTGTCTCACTCCAACATAAAACATCCACGTAATGTTATTTAGACTGAATATTGCCTCCATGGTTAAGGAAGATGTCTAACAATAGTCTCGGTCATCCAGAACCTCATAGTCTTCAACGTCGGGAGGGTCTGGGACCGTTGTCAATATTTGACAAAAAGTCCATTGCTCATGCGTAACTGGGAGTTTGGTTTTTAATGTGGTTGATTATCCAGTATCTTCTGGCCAAGTCAAGTAACAGTTTCGCCCCTTCCCGCAATACATCCCATAATTCTTGAATTAATATAAACAAACATGAATCGTGACGATGAATTAGGATTAATTTTAAAAAAACATAGATATGGTCCATGAAGGGAGAAATTTTACAATAAAAAAATAAGAATGCCGGATATTGAACTGTCGTGCAATCAAATGGATTATTGGAAATGACATTCTTGATTTAATTTCATGGGTGTCACATCTTTTTTTAGTTCTAGTTACCTCCCTTAGACTTTGTTTATTATAATAAACCTCGGTGGAAGCGGACGTTCAATAAAGATATTTCACACACACAATCTAGCCAATGATCTATTTTTCTCAAATGTTGACATAACGCATCCAGAAAAATATTCAGAGACTATTTAACAAATGTAATGAAATAAAATAAAAATTGGGTTTAATGTCCTACTGTTCTGCTCCGATTGGGCTAATGAAGACGGGCAAACGCCATACAGCGTGCTGTGACGGAAGTTTTGCCTGAACAGCGGTTCTACGGCCTACTCTTGTAACCACATGACCCACCATCTCTTCTTACTACGCCACATTTTAACACCGTCTTTTAAAGTGACATATTTATATACTCAACTATTTTTATGTCTTTACTCACTTTTTATTATTCGACCTTCATATGTAGATACATTTAATTAAATCAACCTGTCCAGAATATTTTGTATTGGGAGTTAAATTTGTAATAAACAACTACTATGAATAATTTATAGCAGAGCGACGAGAGAGAGAGAGATGGGGTTTAACGTTCACTCAACACAAACTAGGTCATTTTGGGACTAACATGATCCAATTTTATTTCAATAATTCTCTAGCGCGTAGAGGTCTTTAGCAGTGGGAGGAAACCGGAGGACCCGGAGAAAATCCACGAGGTTGGGCAGGCGACCCTACTCCTTGCCACGTGCAACCGGGGAATCGAGACCACACCAGTTGACTCAATGATAGATTTTATGATGCAGCCCGCACATGCTTACCATTCGGTCATCCAACACCCCAAGGTGACGGGAAAACGTACCTATATAATAATGTGTATTATTCTGAAATATTTCTGATAATAGCTATATTATACCTGAAGGGAATCCTGGTTTGGTTTGAATAGGCGTTCCTATTCGATCATATTCCAAAAGAATAACTATGTAACAATTGTATATTAAACAGATCAAGTAAAAATGAAAGTATAGTTTTCATACAAAACAAAGCAAAGATAATGTGCCATAAGACCCAGTGTTAGGCCCATTTGATATACTATCCACACTCTTCTCCTCATCTGTATCCAAACTTTCAGGCATAACTTTTAACATCCACTGCGCTACATGACAAGTCCAACATGGCAAGTAAAAATGACAGTATAGTTTTCATACAAAAAAATCAAAGATAATGTGTCATAAGGCCCAGTGCTAGGCCCACTTGATATAGTATCCATCTTCTCATCTGTGGACTAAAGTATATAGACTTTCAGGCATGATGTGTAACATCGACTGTGCTGCATGTCAAATCCAAAGCATATCTCAATGGACACTGGAGACCAGTACGAAATGCCATATATCTGATGGACAGGGTATCGTCACGTGTCCATTGTAGAACTGGTCCATTGTTTTCCATAGTACCTGGTCTAATATATACAGTAGAACTTGTCCATTTTATCCAAAATGGTGTGTATCCGTTAGGTATTAACATTAGTTTTTTATCATATGCACCAATTGTCTTATAGCTGGGAGAATGAATCCTGATTGCAGTAATAGTGTTGCCCCATCCTCCAATCACCAACTCAAAAACCAAACTAGAAATATTGACTGATTCAAATAAACCAACTGTGCCATCTTTACACCCTTTTATCCACACTAGTTTCGATTCTAGTTGTTCAATATTTCTGAATTCCCTGTAAGGAGAACTAGCCCCTAGATATATTATTTCACAATTTGTCAAAACCACACAACAAGCTATAAACGTAATCCATGAATTGTAAATCAACCCCATTTTGTTACAATCTTCAGATCTAGTAGGAATAAGATTTTTGTACACAGCGGTATGTCAGACAAATGTTCAATGTGCACTAATATAAAAGAGTTTACTTCCATTCATGCCATTGCTAAAATAATATAAAATAAACGTTCAATGTACACTATGTTTATAAAGACTATTGAGTTTCTACTCAAGTTGTTACTAACTAGATATAATATATTGATAAGTACCGTTTCCATTATTTACCTACACAGTATCAATTTGTATCCATTAGATTTATTTCCAATAATTGGTTAGATAAAATTATTAATACGGACGCTTCTGTAGGCTTATTATAACTGTTTACGTTCCAAGTAGCATATCTAATGGTGTTTTGTTAATGGGTTCATCACCTCTGATCAATTATTACAAAAGTTTGTTCAATAAAAAGGTTTTCTACATAATCTATATACGTTTTATATATAACAGACCGTTAATATAATATGAGACCAAAAGAAAGTTTTAATGTTCTGACTTGTTAACTCAAGGCAATGATATAACAATAGTGTCATTTTAGTGTACATGTAACGACTTTTAATTTCAATTCTCTCAAATTTGAAAAGACCGAAGACTGGGTTGGGCGTTATAAGGTTTTAATTTAAAAATTAGCAATTAAAAATAGATCGATTACCCCTTGCGAATAAAATTCTCTAAATATTTAAGACATAAAGAAATGTTGAAAGAGGGGTAACCTTACAATGTTCCAATATTCAAGCTGGTCTTATATATGAATACAAATACAATAAAAACACATACTAAAAAACACAAATTTAGATAAAAAGTAAGGGGAGGGTGGGATATGAGGTGAGTCGCCAGCCAGCGACACCCGACGCAGTATTGTACAGGTAAGCGCTTCACTGCTAGATTACAAGGTGAACAACCCCTACCATCCGGCGCACGTGTTAGTCCGGTGGCTGAAGGGGGGGAATCGCCACCCCAGCTGTGAATTTATGAGACCAAGTTTTCCTAGACCAGTTTTTTGCGTAGATTTCGAATCTGGATGGTGATCAGGCATTTATCGTGTGCCATAATATTCTCATCTGGAGAGCATGCGTAATAATTAATATAGAGATTGCTATTCGATTGAGACGTCTGGCGTATTTCGCCGAACATAACTGATTAGTAATTACAGTAAAAACAGAAACGATTGAAGGTAAATGAGTTTATATACATTCATATTACATTATTATATGCGTTGCGACCCATTTGTGTCAATTTCCAGGTCCTACTATTAGCGATTTAACTCCTTTAAAGTGGATAAGTTAATCTCTAATCCAAAAGAACTGTCTTACCTCTTTGTCTGTTCTGAACATTTATCTTCAAATAAATTAATTGAATATTACTTAAAGATACATTAGTTAAGAGTTTTATAAAGAGTTGGCCATTCTTGCTATAATAATTCAAAATTAGATGATAAAAAAAGAAATTACTTTGTTCTAAACGGAATTGTCACTTTTGGAAATTTGGACTAGAAATAGGCATCAATTGTGTCTGCACTGTCTATTGGCGATCGTTGATTGACAGACAATAACTCACCCCACATATTCTCGATTATCAAGTAACATGTTCAATGGCTATGGTAGCCTCGCTTGGCAGGCCTTTCATCGCCAATTTCCGGTAGTGATATTAGCGACTAACGGTAAACGTTAGCTTGGTCCGCCATTTATTGATTTAATTTTAAACGGACGACTGTTTAAATCCAAACTGTATCCAAGCCATCCATTGGACTACAGAGTTTATTTTGTGTCTGTCGTGTAAATAAAGGTCTAATTAATAAGTTCTATAACATCTGAAGCCTAAATAAAGACTTGCAATAGGCAGATTTAGCTCTTGTATAATGTATTTTTAACACGCATTTTAGCCATCTCGAGAGAGAGAGAGAAAGTGGAACAAATTGCAACATGTTAGAGAGAGAGCGAGAGAAATGGGGTTTAACGTCCACTCAACACAAACTAGGTCATTTCGGGACTAACACATGGTTTAATTTTATTTCAATAATTCGCTTGCGCGTAGGGGTCTTTAGCAGTGGGAGGAAACCGGAGGACCCGGAGAAAACCCACGAGGTTGGACAGGCGACCCTACTCCTTGCCACGTACAACCGGGGATTCGAAACCACGCCAGTTGACTCAATGACAGACTTTTTATGGTACAGCGCGCACGTGCTAACCATTCAGCCACCCAACCCCCTGCAACATGTTAGCAAAATAAAGTTTGGCAAATAAAAACATACGGTTTTGTTCATAGCATAAAATCATATGATCGAACGCTTTTCTAGAGTTATTTTAATGTCAGCAGGCCTTCTTGATAATTATTTTACCAAATATAATAATATTTATAACTTGTATGTGTACAATTATACCGCGCACAGTTCCATACAAAGCCTGACAAGGACAGCTGTCTAGTCGTTCGGATGAGACCAAAAACCGAGGTCCCGTGTACACATTGACGTGCACGTAAAATATCCCTTGACAGTTGGAATTCGATATAAGAGTAGGCCGTAGTGCCTCTGTCCGGGCAAAATTTACCTCATAGCACACTGTATGGCGTATGCCCATCTTCATTAGCCCAGTCGTCGGGGAAGAACAGTAGGACGTTAAACCCCATTTCAATTCATTTCATTTGTATAATATAAACAACACTACAAATATTTAGCAACGAGCTTATTGGGGTTTTTTTTTACTATATGTTACTCAATAAGAATAGGATTTGGGAACAGGCTAAGCCTCTATCACCCCTTTCCCTTCAACAAAACGATATAATTACAATTAGTTTACTTAAATACATGTATATAGTCAAAAGTATTCATATTGTGTTATTAATGCATAAAATTCTGAAAGTATACAATAACATTTATTTTCAAATAAAAGGGTTATTTGAAAAACATATTGACTAATTTTGGTTTAAGGCCTGAAAGTAAACAAATATGTAAACAGAATCTAGTGATGGTATTGATAAATGACAATTTCAGTACTTAAAATCAATTACTCAATTCTAAAAAGTTTTGCAAATCAGAAAATATTAATTTATTTTGTTCAAGTGAAATATCCGTAGAGCCATACACTAGAAATTTTGTGCTGATGTATTCTGTTGGTAATGTTTTATGGTTGTAATTCGTCCATCTGAATATAAGGGACATCTCAGCAGAAAGTGATAAGGATCTTTAAAATTGTGTCCACATCGGCAGGTTGAAGAGTCGGTAATGTGTATTTAAAATGCATGTCCATTTAGATCACTGTTTGATAAACGAAGACTTGAATGGATGATTTGCACTTTTCTTTTACCAATATTGTATTAAGAAGGTACCAAGTGATCATGTTTTTAGACATTTTGTTTAAAAATGAATAACGTATCTGAATTAGTATAGAACGATTTAGATTGTTCGAAAGTCGTGTAGTTGAAGGAAAGAAAGAATTATAAAATAGATTAGTTTTACAAAAATAGTATGGAAGGTTTTTGTCGTTTCTTAATGAGTATTTACTCTGGGGTTTTTTGTTTAAATTATCATAAAGGTAATCAGGGGTTAAGTGGTTTATTATTTTATATAAAGATATCAACTTATGTCTTTCACGATGTTGTTTTAGAAGCCAAATACCGACTTCTTTATATAGTAAATCATGACTAGTCATCTTCACACCGCCATCTGATTAAAATACAGATCTATATTTCGTTTCGTTTTTTTATACTTTCGATGGCCTACATACATGAAGATCTAACTGGTTGTAGCGATAGGTCGCAAGTGGCTTTTGACATATGACGTCAGACATTTGATTAACCAATCAGCATTGATGTTACTAGTGGATTACCCACAGTTCCGTGCAAAACATGCCTAAAGCTCGCCCGTTTCGTTGGCTAAGCCCTCACACCATTCAGAACACGTCAATGATAACAACTCTTCCAGATCCTAGTGTAGTAAAGACAAGTAAAACGAAATTTTGAACTATAAATACGAAACGAAATAGGATCTGTGTTTTAATCAGATTGACTCAGTGCGTAAAGCATTTAACTGTAATTGTTCTAACTGGTTAGCTAAGTAATCAGCGCACCCATCCCAAATAATTTCAGCATAGTCAAAGTGTGGTAAAATATATGAAGTATATATTGTCAAGTTTGTATTTTTTTTGTTTGTTTTTCTTTATTCTTGGCTCTTTTAAAGATGCCGTAGACAAATGCGCCTATTGCAGGGTTTTTTCTCTTCAAATGTTATATTAAGTATTAAGTAGGCATTTCTTCACATGCTATCGATCATCCATACAATCCGATGAACGTGATATTAAATGCATTAGAACATACCCGCGCACTATTTTAACGTTAAAATGGGTGATATCGAGACAATCTTGTAAAGAATTGAAAACACCGAATGAGCTAATTTGACTATAATTGCTAATATTGATTTTTCATTCTCTATTTTTAAACTATACTCTTAAAAAAAAGCTCCACCAATCCTCCGACATTCAGCAATTCGTCGTGGCGTGCTCCTAATCAACCGTCCAATCACGATTTGGGGCAATCTGGCCCACTCCTATTGCAGTGCCACGGCCAATTCTTGCAGTGTTGTCGGTTGACGTTCACGAATACGTCTCCCAATCATCTACCAGGCATGCTCTATAGGGGAAAGGTCAGGACTCATGGCTGATCGAGGCATAAGGACAATATAGTGACGCTGGATGTGGTCATTCACGACAAGAGAGCGATGGGCACGGGCAGAACTATCGATGCCAGGATGTGGTCACGGTA